GGAAAAAGAGTTGCCCTAAATGAGAGATGGAAACACTTCTTCCTTCACTTCCTGAAAAAGGTGGTATTTCTGTTTATATACAGAATAAAAAACATGACAACAAGTTAATTAGTTTACTTTAGAGATGTTGATGAACTCTGGACAGAACCAGGTTTTGTTCTGCTTACAGTCTTTATGCTAAGATAGGCTAACCAAATCAACCTCTGTACTTAACACACAGATATGAGATTAACATTGATGTTGTCTTCTCACAAACACAGGAAGGATTGCATAAAGATTCTGTTTGCATGTGCTCATGCTCTATGTGGTGACTGACTGATCAAGTGACAGCTCTGACAGATTGAGATCCAGAACAATGAAGCCTCAGCCAGCACATGGCCCTCATGTGACGACCTTGCTGACTGTAATCAGGCTGCTGTTTCCCCCAGCCTCAGCACAAAGACAAACTTACCAAAATCAACCACACACTCACCCGACACTCGCCTCATTAGTTACTGCAGCTTATGTCCCACGTAAGTCCTCAGATGGCACAGACAAGCTTAGAATGTAGTCTTGTCATTTAAATACTGAACTGACTAAAGACTATTTTATTTTTTAGCCACTGAAGATCTAAACAAAGTAATGTTTTCAATTTCATGTTTTAAACTGGTAGAAACTTTAGGAAAATAGGTATTTGTATATATTCAATTTTTTTGTTGTCAGTGTGTGTCTTCATGCCATCGCACGTATGGTTTTGTTCAAACTTAAAATCCTTCACTCTCCCTGCGTTTTGTATTTGAAAGCTATGCAATGTTTACAGCAAATGCATCAAAAGAAGTTGCAAGTACATCCAAAATGCATGCACAAAATAATGGTGAATATATATTGTAATTGGCGAACAAGATGAGTAGTGAGCCATGCAGTGCAGTAAGTTTAAAGCTCCCTGCAGATGAAAGACGCATTCCTACTCTGCATGTTGCTGTGTTCCTCAGACAGATTCCCAGCTGGGACCTGCTCTAATCTCCTGGCAACAATATTGACATAGAAATAGAAACTCTGACGAGGACAGGACTCTAGCTGTCTGCTTGTCAGGACTGCCTTCACATACATCTGTTAGTCAGAGTTCTTCTACAGACATATGTCCTGTTTAAATTAGTTACATGGTGATTATGTAGATACATCTTAACCTTGGAATTTAAAGGAACAGTTCTATATTGTGGGAAATATGATTGGGGGGGTGTTTATTTGTGCTTAGGATGTATCTGCTGTGAAACAATAATTCTCTGATTAACTGGCTTTCTCTCTACCGGCACTTCCTCTCTTCTCTCCTCTGTCTCTTTACAACCACTGTCTTGCTCTCTCTCTCACAAACCAACGGTCACAAACCAAAGAAAGCTTCTTGGTATCACTATTTTGCAGCATAAACTGTCAGGAAGAGACGTTGAAGCTGGGTATATACTATAAAGCGAGCAAGGACACAACTGGGACTGTATCATGATTTGGCCCACAGTAAGATGTCTTTTATTTATCAAAACCGGTAGCAAATTAACACAGTACAAAAAATAAGCACATCAGTATCACAGATGGTCAGACCACTGCACTTAACTATGTATCTTTAAACATTACAGTTAAGGCTTGAAATGACAACAGAAATTAACTTGTTTGCAGATTTTACGTATCTCCACAATTTAAATCAACGGCCAGTTGAGTGACTGTTGTTTTTAGGGCAATGTCACTATCTACATGATATTTCTTAAAATGTTAAACTAAAGTGAAGAATTGCTGTTACTTCTCAGTTGTATACAAAGGTTGGAATCATGTGATATATATATATATATAGTATATATAGATATATAGTTACACACATCTTTGCAATCCTGTCATTCCATGTCATCATTCCTCCCTAGGACCCTGAATCTGACAGCAGCTGTGGCATGTTTGTTCAACAAAACATATGTGAAAATGGTTTGTTATACTAGGTGTGGTGAAAACCTAATGAACACTATACCAAGAGATATGACTGACACGATCATAAATCCTTCCTGTTCATCTTCATGACCTTTGTCCGCAGGATTTCTGTTCTCCCTGATATAAACATACTGAGCTTTAATCACTCAATCAATCAAATCAAATAACTAATGGTGCACACACTGTAAGCAAGTGCACCTTTTGCCCTTGGATCAAACTCTGAGTAGTACCTCAAGCCTGGGAAGTGATCTGTT